GCTTCCAGGTCAGGTTGAACATGCAGCTTCATGTTTGGGCCTTCAGGATTCAGAGCTCTTTGATCTGGCAGCTCAGGCCTCTCACACAGTTTTGTTTGCCAAAGCAAACACCTGCTTAATATGCAAATACAATTAAAACTTTCATGGGTGTTTAACCTCTCCAAAATCCAGGAAAGAGTGAACTTGGTTGGACTGCTTTCTTCAAAGAGATAGTGAGACCTGTTGAGATAGAAGGAACACCCTTTAAATGTTACATGGAATACTACTAGAGAATGAGAAGAGGCTTTAAGATTTTCATTTCCATAATTCTCAGCTTTTATTTTTTTAAACTTTGGGTTAGTGACAAGTTTCCTCCTTGACCAAGTTATTGTTGCTTAAAACCATTTAACCAGAGCACTGAGGATAACAGCTTTTGTAACCTCTCATTTGCTTATGATGTGGGAATTTGGACACAGATGTACATGCAGAGTCAAAGGGCATACATAATGCTAATGTCAATTAATCCCAAACTGATTAAAAAAACGGACAAACAACACTTCTCAGAAACATCTTTTAACTTAGAGCGAAGCCATAAGCTTTGACCCCGGTGCCTGAGGTCAAAGAAATCTGGTTAGAGAGGACAATATAATGAGTTAAGGTGAGGCATACTGGAGTAAGGGTAGGCCCTTAATCCAATATGACTGATGTCCTCGTAAGAAAAGGAGACCCAGGGAGAAGGCCACCTGGAGTCAGAGGCAGAGACTGGGTGCTGCCATTGCCAGCCAAGACTGTTAGCTGCCTCCAGAAGCTAGAAGAGGTGAGAAGAATTTTCTCTTACAGGTTTCAGAGACAGCATGGCCCTGTTGACACCTTGATTTCAGACTTGTCATCTTCAGGGCTGTGAGGGAATCCATTTCTGTTGGTTCAAGCCACCCAATTTGTGGTACTTTGTTATATTGGCCCTAGCAAACTCATACAGCTAGCCAAAGGGGAGGTATGGGATCCATATGGCAGTTATTCTCGGTCTATTTCATGTACACGAGGACCTGATGGGTTTCTCAGAAGTCTTCTGTACCCTCACAATTACACTGTCTCTGCTTCCAGTGATGGAGCCCGAACTCTTCCCTCCTTGGCTTGCCCCACCGCTTCCCTTAGTCATGTCTCTGGTTAAAGAATGGAAAGAAACTAGTGGTGCCCAGTGCCTAGACTGACAGAGATGACATATACGTCAGGGGACTTCCTGGGTCATGCCCTCCAGTGTCCTCCAGCACCATGCAGGCCTGCTCTGCCCCACTGTCCTCAGTCTTTCTCCTCCACCGTCCTCCACCTGACCCCCACCCTTACCCCAGAACATGGAAATGCTCTCCTTCTTTCATTGTACCCAAACCAGTCCTGATGATAAGTTTGAGTTTTGTTTTAAGGAAAGAACTTCCAATGTAGTGTGGAGTGTGGACCTTTCTGATATGTACACTCCATACCCATCAAAGTATCTAATCTCATAGAATTAGGTTGTGAGTAAAAAAGCACAATAATGTTTGGGAGAGGAGACATATCTTATTAGAAAGTGTCGAATGAAACCACAAAAGACTTGAGAATAAGAAAAATAAAAGCCATAGGATCCGTTGACATTTCTTGAAGAACTTCTGTAATTTGTGTGTTTTTTTAAGATTTTATTTATTTATTTGAGTGGGGGTGCAGAGCACAGAGGGAGAGGGAGAAGCAGACTCTCCGCTGAGCAGAGAATTCAATCCTGGGATCCTGAGATCGTGACCTGAGCCGAAGGCAGACGCTTAACCGACTGAGCCACCCAGGCGCCTCAAGAACTTACATAATTTGGTGTCAACAGTGGGAATCTAGTCATACTCACTTTCATTTTCCCTGCACCATTCATCTAACTATTTCATAATGGTAGATTTTAAGAGCAAAAAAGTTTTTACCAAAGCACTTCTATTCTCCAGCATTTCCCAAGGTTTATTAACAACATTTAAAAAACTTCTCTGTGTATTTTTCACTCTGCTGTTTGGTATTCTTGCTAATTTTGCAATCTTGAATCCACTGAATTCTCCAATATAAAAAAATTCTACAAGTTCATAGATCTAATATGATACATTTATTGCAAAATTAATGAGAGAGACTTTTGCAAAATACATTATCTTTATGTGAGGTCATGTACTTAACCCAAGGGTCATACAGTAAGGGTTCAGTAAATGTTTATTGACTGACTAACTGAATAAAAGCCCAAAGTCCAGAGAGCTTGAACACAAAGCCACCAGGTGGAGAGCGCATACTAAATGTGGGATTTTAATTTCCAGCTAGTGGGGCGCCTGGGTGGCTCAGTCGTTAAGCGCCTGCCTTCGGTTCAGGTCATGATCCCGGGTCCTGGGATCGAGCCCCACATCGGGCTCCCTGCTCCGCAGGAAGCCTGCTCCTCCCTCTCCCACTCCCCCTGCTTATGTTCCCTCTCTCGCTGTGGGAGAGGGAATAAATAATATCTTTAAATAAAATCTTTAAAATCTTTAAAATAAATAAATAAATCTTTAAAAAATAAATAAATAAATCTTTATAAATAAATAAATCTTATCTTTAAATAAATAAATCTTTAAATAATAAATAAAATCTTTAAATAAAAAAAATAAATAATAAATAAAATCTTAAAAAAAAAAATAATTTCCAGCTAGTGTTCTCTCCACTATAGCATAGTGCTCTTGCTCTCAGACACCTTTTGGTATTAAAATAGAATCTGAAATGGCCAAACATATGCAAGTTAGAAAGATTTTGAGAAGAGGGTCTTTATAGAAACATATTTAAGGTCTTTATTTTTTTTATTTTTTTTATTTTTTAAAGATTTTATTTATTTATTTTTTAGAGAGCGAGCGAGAGAGAAACAGCATGAAAGGGGAGAGGGTCAGAGGGAGAAGCAGGCTCCCCGCTGAGCCAGGAACCCGATGTGGGACTCGATCCCAGGACCCTGGGATCATGACCTGAGCCGAAGGCAGACGCTTAACCATCTGAGCCACCCAGGCGCCCTATTTAAGGTCTTTATAGAAACATATTTATGAGGGTGAGAGCACAAGTGTAAATAGACATTACCCAGGACTCTGAAGCTACGGCAGAGAGGCTGAGACCACAGGTCATTCTTCATTGCCCATGTCTGTCTTCTTGGATAGTAATAGAGCTCTTAACTTTTAGCTGGGAACATGGCCATCTAGAATGTAGACTACACTTGCAGCCATTCTTTCAGCTAAGTGTGGCCCCATGATTAAAGATGGCCAATGAGATCTCTAGGAAATACCAGCTTCTGAGAAGCTTTTATAAAAGACAACTTGTGACAGATGGGGACTACACTCATGGTGACGAGCATGGAGTAATGTATAGACTTGTTGAATCACTATGTTGTACACCTGAAACTAAGATAACATTGTATGTCAGCCATACTTCAATAATAAATAAATAAAAATTCACACATGAAACAAATCTGTGAAAGAAAGAAAGAAAGAGAGAGAAAGAAAGAGAAAGAAAAAGGGGTACCTGGGTGGCTCAGTCGGTTAAACATCTGCCTTTGGCTCAGGTCATGATCTCAGGGTCCTGGGCTCCCTGCTCAGTGGGGAGTCTGTTTGTCCCTCTCCCTCTGCCCCTCACCCCACTCAATGCTCTCTCTCTCTCTCTCACTCTGCTCTCTCTCTCTCTCTCAAATAAATAAAGCCTAAAAAGGAAGGAAGGAAGGAAGGAAGGAAGGAAGGAAGGAAGGAAGGAAGGAAGGAAGGAAGGAAGGAAGGAAGGAAGACAACTGGTGCATATCCTCCTTTGCCCCTTTCTTCTTTATCCTTTCTTGCTTCCTCTCCCCACAGCATTCTGATGCTTTCGCCTCCACTCTGGACCATGAAGTTGAAGGTGTGGGATGCCTGATCCCAAACCAAAGGGGACAAGTTCATGGTTGCTTCGTGGCATAGAGCCATCATGCAGGGCCTGAGATGGCGCCTTTAGGCTTTTTCATGAGAAAGTAACATGTCTTTTTAAACCATTGTTATTTTGGATCCATGTTACCTTGCCGCCTATCACTTAGAAAATTCCAAATGACTCAGCTACTCATTTATCACGTAAATACCAATTCAGCAGCCCATAGTCTGAATGGCCATTTGAGAAAAAAATTTAAATCGGGTATCAGAGTAATTCATTATAAAGTTTGGGCAATAGGATAAAATTCCACTGGGTTTTGAAGTTATAGAAATGATTTGCTGATGTCCAAATTAGGGATATGAAAGTCGGTACCCAGCTTTGGAGCCAAAAGGAGCCCAGTGAGCATTGTATGGTACAATAGAACATGTACTAGATGAGAAAAGAATCTGTACTTTGTCTCAGATGGGCTATAACTCAACCAGGTACTTTAATGAGTCTCAATTGCCTCATCCATTAATAGAAGGGAACGAACCAAATCTCTAGGGATCCTATAAATGCCATAATTTAAGGACTTTGTGATTTGCTAGTGGTAAATCCAGTCTTTTATGTCATGCACAGATAAAGAGCCTTATAACACTTATTATGCCACAGATCTAACAGCACAGCATAAATATATCTAAATATTTCCCTCTTTCTCTCAAACTTCCACTTTAACATAAGTAGAGCCAAGCTGGTTTGGGCAAGGTGTGTGGATCAACAGCTACTCATATCCTCTTCGTTTCCTTGGATTATCACCCTCACTAATTAAGAGAAAAAATTATCAAGCATATCACCGATAAAATTACTTCCTCCAGTAACTCTTCGTTTTTTTTTGTAAGAAAGACAAATTCAAGTAGAAGGCTAGGAAAGATCTGTGGACTTCCAGTTGAAACAAGAGAGGATGGCAAGTGATCACAGTGTTTTGTTTTTATTTGAGATTCCCTCAACATCAGGTCTCAGAGCTTAGGTTTCTTTGATTCAGAAATAGAAAGAATAGAGAGCCTAAGGCTGTAGTTTTCATAGGATTGGAAGCAAATTAGGGGACCAGCAAGCCAAAATCATTTACCCAGAGCAAGCAAGAAAGGAATACAATGTGAAGTGTATAATTGAGATTTTAAAACATTTTTAATTTTACATCTTTTCTTCATATTAATGGGTAAAATAATTCATTCTTTAAAGAATTAATTTGTAATTGGGGCAAGTGTGAAAATGAACAAAAAACAACCAAATGGGAAGAAGCAAAGGCTATTGATTCAGTGCTTGCTGTAGCAAGGGAGTCAGCCACCATCACTTGTGATTTGGTCCAAAGGCAGGCAGGGTGGGAAGGCTTCTTAGGGAAGAAAGGACCAGCTTCTGGTGTGCACTGATGGAGGCTGTGGGCACGGGGGAGCTGGAAGCAGCTAACTTGGAGCAGGGCATCCATGTGATGGCTTACGGGTGCGTATTTGGCTTTTCCTAAATTGGAAGCAGGGACAAACATTAAGAAAGCTTTCAATTATTAATCAGGTCCTGGCCATTTAGTTTGATTGCTACAGGTTGTTATTTGGCTTCCTGGACTGATGGCTGCAGTCAGAGTCTGTCCGTCTGTTTGACTACTCTGTCTTTTACAACTTGTCATTTGTTAGAATAACCTTTAGTTATTCTATGCAAAGAAATCAAACCAGCAGTGGTTGGGGAGACAGAACAATGTGATGGGGTTGTGGTCACAGAAAATAACCTATGATGTCATGTTTGGGGGTGTGGTCATTAGACCTCTTTAGAAAAAGCTTCAGGAAAAATATAGATCTCAGAGCAGAGAGAATTTGCATGGAAGCAACTTTCTTCTAGTCTCTCCCAGACTTTAGGTCTCTGAGATTGTAATAATGCAATCAGCAATCAAATTTTCCTGTTTCACTGAGGAAAAGCAGCCCTATCAACATGAGGGGAGAAGTGTGGGAGGGGTCCTTATTCCAGAAAATTCTCTACCCTTTTTCCCTTCAAATATTACTTCTTTTTTCCCCCTTCAAATATTATTTCCATTCCATCTCTCAACTGGAGTCTTTTCATAAATAAGTTGGAGTTTTCATTCTTTCCTTCATTTAAAAAAATTTTTGTTTATTTTTTCCATCTTCTTATTTCTCTGTATTAAAGTCTGGTATGTTCTCAGATATATTTTCCTCTGCTTAGTTTCCTCTTCTGCTGTGTTTATTCTACAGTTTAACTTGTGTATGGAATTTTATTTTAATGGCTGAATTTCTGTTTGGTACCTTTTCAATCTCCTTGTTCTTTTTAATGTAATTTTGCATTCTTGCATTATGTATTCAACTATATATATATTCACATATTCAAAATTTTAAAACATACTCATTTAAAAATATTTTCCCCTTATTTTTGTGTTTCTGGGGGTGAGTTATCTCCCATCTTTAGCTTTATTTTGGGAACTCAGTTTCAGCTGCTCATCACATACATGGCTTAAGTCCACGACTTGTGTTCTTCCTTAGGCAGTAAATTCCAGTGCCAAGGGGTTTATGGCACCCGATACACGCAATTCATGTGGAAACTCAAGAGCCACCTCTTTGATTTCGAATTCCTTCTGTGACTCAGGCCTCTAAGGATATCCTTTCCTTGCTTTTGAGTTTGGCTTTCTATCCAACAATTCTATCCAACATTTCTCTGTGCGAGGAGCAGTGAGATCCACTAAGTCTGCCATATTGACCACTGTCAACTAATATTTATGCTGTGTCTGCTGTATATCTACTGTCGCTAGGTGCAGAGGATGAGAAATAACAAAGCACAGGCTTCTTCCTCCGGGCAAGTAGAGTCCAGAGAGCCAGACAGACAAATGAAACATTTGTAACAAATACAGGAAGTTTAATGCTGCAAATATCCTGGGGTGCACCTGGGTGACTTGGGCTTTAGGGGAAGGGTGGGGGTCAGCAAAGAAAATGCATATTCTTCTAAACAAAGCCCCCATTGGAACAGATGAATGTGTAGGACATTTGGTGGGGAAAACATTTTTGGCTTTATTTTATTTTAGAATCTCTGTATGGGCCCAACACCCACAATTACAGACAGAAGGTCTTGCCTCCCTCAATCCCACAGTCTGGATGTTCACAAACTTCCTGTTTCTTTCAGCACCAAAGATATTATTTGATGAATCATTTATTTGGCAAACATCATCCCAACAACTATTAAGGTTACTTCCCAAAAGATTAATTTTACTGCTGGGATATAGATTGTATCCTGGAAGACTTTGAGTCATTGCCAACTGTCATTGTAAATGTTTATTAGGAGGATGTTCCCAGTGATTAGGAAGCTTTATTCTGTTGTTGTTAAACATCAAAAAAGCACTTTTTATGCACACATTTTTGGTAATATGTGAAATTTATCATTTATATTGAAGATAAATAATTTGGGACAATTTAAAAATAAGGGGTCTGGAATGAAAGAAACATATTGAACTGTCTCGAGAACCATAGGATGTTTGCACTGGATATTACTTTGTTGGAAAAGCCAGGCCAATCTGGTTGAAACCAGGGTTTCTCAATCTAGCAGCATCCCTGGTCTCTTACCCACTTGATCCTCTTAGCGCCACCCCCACCCTAAGTCATGACAAAATGTTCCAGACATTGCTGTATGTCTCCAGATGTCCCTAGAATCCCAATTCTTTATTTTAGAGATGAGAAATGGAGGCCCAGAGAGGGTAAGTGGTGAGCCTTAGATTTTGCAGCTAGTTGGGAACAGACCCTGGGAGAGCCACCCTGGTCTTCCACTGCCTCTCCTCAGGCTGTTACCACAGAAATTGCAACAAGAGCTCCTGTCTAATATTTTGCTAACCAAGCCATTCTGTCTGTAACAGAGCCTTGGGTTTAGACCCTCAAAATAATGTCACTTCTATTGAAAAACTCAGGCTTGGCAAGTTTGTACTATGTGAGTTGTCTCTGATTCACTTAAGAACCAAGATTTTTGTGAAGTTTCGATGATACTCATTGAGTTGATTCTAAGTAACCAGGATGTTCCTTCCAAGTTTACATTTTCTTTGTGACAAAGGATCTTTTCCTTCCTCCTTTACTTGTGAAAAAACAAATGCCCTGAGCCCGTCTCAGAGGACTTTTGTGTACCTGATCATTTTCCGCGGGACTGGTGATTGGGTGACCGTTTGCTTGCCAAAGAGTAAAAAAATCCATACACAGCTTTTGCTCATCTGATAACTGGTTGTAATAAATGCAAAGTTAAAGTTTGCTTCATGAAAACATCCAGTTTTACTTGAGGTCTTTTCTTCTAGTCAGTACATTCAGATGCCTAGGAAAAAAAAAAAACAACCACCCCCAAGTTCACATTTTGAAACCCTGTGGTCCTGTCATTTGCCTCTTAGTCACCATGTTGACAAATAAGGAAAGGAGACGGCAAAGGGTGAATGAAAGCAGGCTCCAGAATGTTCTTCCTTATCCTTAGAGATTGTGAGAAGCTCACTCACTTATAGGTTTCTCCGGGTCACTTGGCACGCCTGGCTTGGATTCTGACACCACAGAGCTGTTGCCATCGACTCCAGAGGCTTGTGGCTGGAGAACACCAGCAGTGACGTTCTAGCTCCACTCCAGCTTATGTCAGTGTGCCAGTAACAAAATTCACAACTTTTCCTGAGCGCTGCCGGGTATCTGTCTGACAGGGCAAATGCTCACTGACAGCCAGGGCCAGTGGCCACAGCAGGTGCTTCTTGCCCTTAGCTGAAATGGCCCGCAGCTCTGGGAGACAGTTCAGGAATGCTGCTGACGCCATCCGGGGCTCAGCACCCTTACCTGCTTACATTGCAACTCTGCCCGTCAGTAAGAGGAACTGTGTTTCCATACTGTGAGATGTCCTCATTGCACCAGATGATGACTTCTGTGCTGGCTTTGTGCAGAACCCAGAAATATCCATAGTCAAATTGAAGTCTGGGGGTGGAAACACAATCAGGACAATGCTGCATGGTCAGCACGTCTAAAGGCCCTACAGAGCACCGATCTCCTTTCCCTGAATTACTACAACTTTGGTGTTGTTTACAGAATCGTGTTGTGTTTTTTAAGTCCGGGTAGGCAAGGTCTCTCTTCATGCATAGCACAATCCCTGATGTGGCAATGTGGCACCGTGGGAGAGCAGAAAGATCACTAATTGAGTCTAAAGATCTGGACTCCATTCATGCTCTGACAGTTTTTATGAGCTTGGGTAAGAAGCTCAGTTGCTGAGGGCCGTGTTTCCTCAACTGTCTGGAACTGTGGTTTCTCACTGCTTTTGAAAGTCAAGTGTGTGAGCTCACGGAGCTGTGCACTTCCCCCTAAGAATCTGGCCAAAAATTAAAGTCACTTACTTGGCTTCTGAAAATGTGGTTAGTTCAGACATTCCAGTTCCTAAGATTGTAATTGAGCTGCTTTATTTTATGTCCACTCAGGGTCACATCACGAATCTCATGAAGAGCCAGCTCTGCTGTTCCCAGTCCGGCGCCACAGAGCTTTTCCATTTGTACGTGACATATACACGTATGTATATGTGCGTATAGATATGTTAGTAGTGTAGAAACATGAAAATTCTTTGTAATAAAAACTTCATTGTGAACCAAGATTTAGAAAATGTAAACATTTTGGCAAAATGATGTATTTTCTGGGAACTCGTGGGCAGGACTCCTGCCCTGATTTCCGTGAACGTAGGGTGAGGACAATGAGGCCCTGATTGGTAATCTCTTTGATACTCTGGAATTCTCCCTGCATGTCCATTGTGATGATGGGTCTTGGCTTGGAGAGCACCTGATCAGATGTCACTGAGGTCACTTAAAAATATGGGGGAGCTGGTCTCTGCCCCACGGAAATTTTTGCAATGACTAAAGTGTTCTGTGTGTTCACACTGTCCAGGATGCTAGCAAATGGCCACCAGTAGCTATCGAGCTTTGAGATGTGACAAATGCAATTGAGGTACTGCACTTTAAATTTTACTTAATTTTAACTAATTTAAATTTAAAGCTATACAGACATGTGTGGTTAGCGATGACCATATTGGACATCTCTATTATTTTTACTGTTTTCTATTTCATGATTTTTTGTTCTGATTTGTAGTATTTGCTTTCTTTGGCTTACTTTGGGTTTAGTCTGCTCTATTTTTCCTAGTTTCTTAGGATGAGATCTGACGTTATTGACTTGAGACCTTTAGTCCTTTCATATATAGGCATTTAGTGTTATAAATTTCCCTTTAAGCATTGGTGTTATTCCACAGAATTTGGTCTGTGATGTTTTCATTTTCATGAAGTTCAAAATAATTTCTAATTTTCCTTTCAATTTCCTTACTGATTCATGGGTTATTGAGAAATATCTTATTTAATTTCCAAATATTTGAGGATTTTTCAGTGATCTTTCTGTTACTGATTTCCAATTTAATTTCATTGTGGTCAAAGAACATACTTTGTGTGAATTGAATCCTTTTAAGTTTATTGAGACATATTTTATGGCCCAGAGTATGACTGTCTTGGTAAATGCTTGGTAAATACTTGACAGGAATGTGTATTCCGCTATTGTTGTTTAGAGTATTCAATAAATGGTAATTAGGGCAACTTGGCTGTTAGAGTTTTCATGTCTCATATATTCTTTACTTTCTGACTGCTTGTTTAATCAATTATTGAGAAAGTGGTATTTAAATCTCTGACTATAGTTATAGATTTGTCCATTTCTCCTTCTACATCTACCAGATTTTGCTTCATGCTTTTTGAAGTTCTGCTGTCAGGTATATAAACTTTTAGGATTGTTATATCCTCTTGATAAATTAATCCTTTATCATATTGAAATAACCTTTTAATCTCTGGCAATATTGTTTGCTGTATATAAATTTACTTTGTTTGATATTAGTATCCACTCTAGCTTTCTTTTGACTAATGTTAGCAAGTCATACCCTTTTCTTTTCACCTACTGTTTCTTTATATATAAAGTGTACTTCTTATAAGAGCATTTAGTTGGATGCTGCTTTATTTATGTACTCTGACAGTATGAGCCTTTTAAAACTCTTTTAACTGAGCTCTTTATATCATTTACATTTAATGTGATTACTTCATAGCTAGATTTAAGTCTATCATCTTACTATTTATCTCATCTTTTTGTTCTTTTTCCCTATGTTCTTTCTTCTTTCAGATTATTTATTGTTTTTCAATTTAATCTATTTTGTTGACTTTTTAGCTAAAACTTCTTGTTTTACTATATTAGTGGTTGCTTTAGAGTTTACCATATACATACTTCAAGAGATATTATGTGACTTCCATATAAGTATATACAGTAGTATATACAGAACTCTATTTTCCTCTTCCTGCTTTCATGATATTGTTGACATATATTTTTACTTAAACCCCACAAACATAAAAGCCACATTTTTTTATGTTTTTGTTGCTATTAAAATGTTAAGAATATGTTTTTTTGCTTTAAAAGTTGAAAACTTAAAATTTAAATTATTTTTGCCTAAAAAGTTAGCTCTCTTTTAGAATGATTCTTTTTATTTTAAGTAATCTCTATGACTAACATAGGGTTCAAACTCACAACCCCAAGACCAAGAGTCTCATGCTCTTCCAACTGAGCCAGCCGGGCAACCCCCCAAATTAGCTATCTTTAAAATAGATTTAAATAATAAGAAAAAATCTGACATATTTACCAATGTAATAGCATTTATAGTGCCTCTCATTTTTTTGTGTAAATCAGTGGTTCTCAACTGGATGTGATTCTCAACTGGGTGTAATTTTGCCCACTGGGGACATTCAACAATGTCTGGATAAAGAATTATCCAGCCCCAAATGTCACCAGTGCCAAGCTTGAAAAAACACTGGTATGAATCCATATTTTCATTTTGTTTCGCTTTCCTTTAGCCTGAAGGGCTTCCTTTAACATTTCTTATAATGTGGATCTGCTGGTAAAGAATCCATTGTGTCTTTTTTCTTTGGCTGCTCTCAGATTTTATCAGTGGTTTGTGCAATTTGAATATGAAGTGACTTTGTATGATCTTTAAATATTTCTCATTCTCAGGATGAGATAAACATCTTGAATCTGTGAATTTATACTTTTCACCAAATTAGGAAAATTCTCATCTATTACTCTTTGAAATAGTTTTCCTGTTCTCCCCTTCTCTACTCTTCTTTAGGAACTCTAAATATATGTATATTAGGCTATTTGAAATTGTCCATAGTTCAGTGATTTTATAATTTTTTCAAGTTCTTTTTTACTTTGTATTTTATTTTAGATAGTGTCTATTGCTATGTTTTCAAAGTCACTTATCTTTTCCCTTTGCAATATCTGATCAGCTGTTAATCACATCCAGTATATTTTTCATTTGATAATTTGTAGTTTTCATCTCTAGAAGTTTGATTTGGGTCTACTTAACTTCTTGAACATCTAGAATGCAGTTATGTAGTTATAATAACTGTTTCGTGTCCTTGTCTTCTAATTTTAACATTTAATCAGTTCTTGGTTGGTTTGGACTGGTTGGCTTTTCTCCTCATTAAAGATATCTTCCTGTTTCTTTGCCTGCTTGGTGAATTTTACTTTGGTGCTGAGTATTTTTGTCTATCTATAAACATTCTTAAGCTTTGTTTTGGGATGCATTTAAATCACTTGGGAAAAGTTTGATCCTTTTAGATCTTGCTTTTAAGAATTTAGTTGGAACAGAGCAGCATTCAGTCTTAGGCTAATTATTCCACACTATTGATACAAGACTACTTTGAGTAGCCTATCCAATAACCATTAATTATGACGCTTCCAGTCTTGCTGTGGGGACAGGCACTTTTTCTGGCCCTGGGTGAGTGCTTGGCACCCTTCCCTCGAACTCTCTCAGACAGTTCTTTCTCCCACCTCAGAGTTTCCCCATGTGCATGAACCTATCAGTACTCTGCTGTATTCTTGAGGGGTTCCCTCCACAGATCTCAAGAATTCTCTCTCTCTGCAGCTCTCTCCTCTCTGGCACTTTATCCTGCCAACTCAAGACACCTAGGTCTCTTACACTTTCAGCTCTGCTTAGTCAGTAGAGCTGTGTTTACCCCGGGAGTCCACTGGGCACCACCTGGATTCCCCATCCCTGCACTGTGGCCTGCAGACTCTCATAGCAGTGAGCTGGGGTGATCATAGGACTCACCTTTTCTATTTCCCATCACTCAGAATCACTCCCCTTCATTGTCTGATGTCCAGTGCCTTGAAAACTGCTGCTTGATATATTTCATTTGATTGTTTCAGGAGGCAATCTGGTCTCTGTTACTTCGTCTTTGTCAGAAGCAGAAGATGCAAATGAACCAGTTTTTATTTCCTTCTAGCAAATATGTATGCATGTGGCTATGATTTTACATTGTACATGTATTTAATAGATATTTTCTTAAGCAAAATTGATCCTAGTTTTTTACTGGAACTGAGCAGTTGAATAATTCTTGGGGTTTGTCTGCTAGGTAAATCACACCTGCCAGTACTGAATACATTAGAGACTTCCTGCCCTCATGTATCTTCCTGTTGCTATTTGCATTCAGAAACCTCTTTTCCCATGAAGGGAATTATTCTCAATGAAATTCTTTGTTCTTATTAACTACCCACTTGAAATTTAGTTAAGTTCACTCTTTAAAATTCCAATTTTTGTTCTCTTGATAATTTTATGAACTGACTTCTCCTAAAGGGACAAGAGCACATTTCTAGTTTTAAAAATCTAAGCCTAAAGTAGTACAACTACTCAAAATATACTTACTGTGATAAAATCCTCAGGCAAGGAAATGTCTAGATATTTTACATAGATATTCAGTAAGTAAATGGTTCATATGTAAATGGTGGGATTTCCATGCAAGGTGTTCCTATGTCTCCAGGGGGTACATGGGCACAGAGATCTTGAAAGCAGAAATAGGAGCAGGACAGCCCATTCGAACACAGAAATAGTCTGTTCTTTGCAGGAATGGAGAGCAAGGCAAAGCCAGTACATTTTAGGAAGTTGCAGATTTATGCCAATGATTTTTTTCCCAGCTTATTTTTGGCCTTTTTATTTTAAGGATTTTTAACTTACAAAGGTGATTAAAATTTAAATAGATATCTTTATTTTATTTCTTCCATTGCTTTTGTGCCTTGATGTTCTTTTATTAGGGGTGTGTGATAAGAAAACAGTATTTTATTTTCCAAAATGTCAAGAAATTTTCCTAGCACCATTACTTTAAAAATACTTATCTCCATTAATTTGTGATGCCGTTTTTGTAAAACATATACTTCTTGGATATACTAAGATCTGTCATATTCTCGTTCCTTCAATCTATTTTCCAGGTACAATTTATGTTTAGCTTTTTTAGGTTCGAAAAAGAACCCAATGTTAATATTTTCTTTGGGATTAAATAAAACATCTCATCTCTTTGGGAAAAGAACATTCTTATAATACTTTAATCTTCTCAATCATCCTATTCAGAAATTTGTGCAACTTGGTTATGTAAATATCTAAAAATATCTTTATATTTACTGAGATCAGTGTATATTTCCTGTGCATTTCTTACCAGCTTTTTTCCCCCTGCGTCGTTTTTGTTATTATTGATATTGCTGCTGGGAACTTTGGGTTTTAAACTGATTTTTGCTGGTTGATAGGAAAGATGTTGATGTTTTCCATCAGATCACTTTAATCATTTCCTATAGTTTTCAGTAGTTGCTGTATGGTGTTTTCTTTAATCAACAGGCAACTTGAAACTCTTAATATTCTCTTGATTTAGATTCTGGGTAATGACACCAGGAAGCTCTATGAAATGCTGAGCAGGACAGCAGGGAGCATTAACAGCAAACCTCTGAAACATCATCACTCTGTGATGCATTTTGCTACAAAATCCTGGAATTCCTCAGGGATGAGTAGAACTTTAGGTATAACAAATGTGTAACAAATGTAACACTTACATTTTCAGAGAATGAAACAGTCACGGATACGTAGCTGTTGTAATGCCAGATGCTGGGGAGGGGGGCATGTTGGAGAAAGAAACATTAGCAACGAGCCATCATCACAATTCCAGTACATCCTAGTACGGTTACACTTTTAATATTACCTGTATTTTTCTCCTTAAGTGATTTCAGCAGAGCCCCCTTTTGTCTCAAAATGACGCACTTTATTTCAGAGAAGAGGCAGAAAGGAAGGTTCCACTAGCCGTTTTTTCTAGGCTGTTTTCTTAGTCCACAGCATGCCCTGGGAAATCCTATTGCACTGGCCTATCTCAGGGAGTGTCTGTAACGGCCAACACAAACAAACTGTGAACCTTCAAATAGAAACTCCGTGCTCTAGAGTCACGTTTGTCTGGGGGTTTGTGGAGGGGGGTGCCCCGAACTCAGGGCAGCTCCACAAGAATAGACCCCAATGGAACTTGTATCCTTAAAACCACTAAAAATGCTTTAAGGAGCTCTGCAGGCACATACCCTGAAGGATGTGGTGATTCAGATCCCCTGGAGGGAGCTGCTTCGCATAGCAGTTGCTGAGAGCCCTGAGATCTCGGAGACAGATACCAGATACGAAAGACTTTTCTCACAATAACCCTGTCCTCCTCACATCATCTTTGCTCCTGTTGTGGCTTGAAAGCCTTCTGAAGAAAAATTCCCTGGGGGGAGAAATGAGCTGGACCTCAGAGGTCAGGTGCAGCCAGGCTCCCTAGTTGTCCCCGAGGACAACCCATTTTTGCAGCATAACTTCCAAAGTCCACAAAACAAGGGGACAGGAACGGGTTCTCTAGCTTCATAGAAAACATTCATTAACTTATTAACGGATACAGAGTGAATGTGTTAGGTGCCCAAGACTTTGAGTTATACAGGATGCAGAAGACCCAGTGTGGCCAGGAAGTAGGGAGAGATCTACATTCAACTTCGGAGACTTTATTACTTTGCCCTGTAAGTGTCAAGCACTGAGTTAGGTGTGAAACATGTGGAATAGTTAGAAGGGTGTAGGTTACCCAGGAGTACAGGGGTCCTTGTGTATGCATATCCCATGGGGAGGTTATAACTAGTGGGATCTATCAGAACACCAGGGCTGAAATCTGTCCTCTTATCACTCCTGTGATCTGGAACACCCTGAACGTCAGTTTCCTCTTCTGTAAAATGGAATAATTGTATCTATGTCATAAAGCTCTGGAGACCTTTGTTGAGAAAATGTGTGGGTAAGAGTTTTGTAAACAGAAGCTCCTCCACAAACACAAGTCTGAGTGGTAGGTTCTGGCTGAAATAGCTTAGTTCACATTCACCAACATTTGCTGTCCCAGAGCTAACAGCAGAGCGAAACTCGTGGAAGTGTATAATGAGCAATTAGTATTACAAGTATTTGTGACAATCTATTTTTCTAACCACAGGGTAAGATTATGATTTAAATTATGTTTATTTTACGAGCCTACAGAGCCTGTATATATAACCTCTATTGTGCCAGGCTAAATAAAACTTCCCCCCAGAAGAGCACACAACAGTTGGGCAAACCTTTGGTTTAAGGGTTTAGAGGGAAGACTGATTATTTTGGTGGCTGGTGGACCTCTGGGAAAGCGTATACAAACCATACGCATGTGTGCCAAGAGGCTCCCAAGTGGGTTATGTAAGGCAGGATGACTCAGGAGACTTGCTGGGAGAGGCGGTTTCAGTGTAGCTGGAGGAGGGGGGCAGAGCCAGGAGGGAGCCTGAGACACAGACTCTCACCAGGAGCCTTTCTACTTTTTTCCTGGGGTGGCAGAGCAAGCCGTTGGCACTCTAAGACGGGGTCAGTGTCCTGGTGATGGAGTCATTCCTTAGGCATTGGGCACACAGATTCCCCTTAAAGGTACAGGTACGTGGCCATCTGTGCTGTTGCCATCTTCAATTATTAAGCAGGAAAAAAAGTGTTTTCCAATGAAAACAAGGAATCCATAGTGTGGTTATTAGCCACAACCGGTACTCAGCCCTTCCTACTTCCAAACTTGAAAACTTGAGCACATTGTTTCATGGATTATCAGGGACCTGGCCTTGAGGGCTCAAAATCAAGAATTGTCTCCTTCTATGGATCCATTAGATCGGACTATTCTGTAGTCAGTACCGCAAAATACCTTTTTTTTTTTTAAGATTTTATTTATTTATTTGATAGAGACACAGCGAGAGAGGGAACGCAAGCAGGGGGAGTGGGAGAAGGAGAAGCAGGCTTCCCGCCGAGCAGGGAGCCCGATGCGGGGCTCGATCCCAGGACCCTGGGATCATGACCCGAGCCGAAGGCAGACGCTCGACGACTGGGCCACCCAGGCGCCCCTGCAAAATATTTTTGATGAATAAGTTAATATTCCACATTAGTGGGGAGGAGCGTCTACTGGTTTTATATGTATAAACCCATCAAGTATCTGTTGAAGGTCCATGCCTCCTGTGTGTTCTCCTCTCACCAGGTCATGAGCCGTGCGAGAGCGGGCAGGGGTGATGCTGTTCATGTGTGTGCTCGGTCCAGAGCACTGTGCCCAGAACAGGGTAGGTTTCAATAAAGGCATGAATGAGTGAATGAAGAGAATGTAAAAGAAACACAGGGCTCATTCCCTGTCCACTGTGAGCTGGAGGGGACTGGGCGGTGCTCGATGTGACAGCTTCACCATTGTGGTCTGGGTTGCTGGGGGAGCAGGGCGGGCCTCCCTGCCACCCCACTTCCTGCAGGGTGCTTGAGTGAGGTGATCACACTTGGCAGGGAGACTGCCCTCTGATGAGGGGCAGAGCTCCAAAGCGCTCCTCTTTCTGAGGGAGGCTGAGCTGTTGACTCCACCTTGTGGTGTTTGCAGCAGAGTCTTCGAGGACTCGACGGGAAGCGAAGAGAAGACAGCTGCGGAGCCAGCAGCACAGCGAGAGGCCACTTGGGGATGTACTTCCCAGGAAGAAAGAGACCCTCAAGGAGGAGCTGGGGGGCCGAGTGGGATCTGGTTTCAAAAAGCCAGGAGCTGTGGGCTCTGCTCCCCTGATCTCACCTCAGAGAACAGTGTCCCTGGGGAGATGGCCAAACAGGCTAGTAAAGCGTCCTGGGATAATGCTGTCTGATGTCCCCTGGAGAGTCCAGCTGGGGAACCGACAGTCGTGAGGGTGGCTCTTGTATCCTTGTTTTCCCAGGGAGTAAGCTGAGGTTCAGAAGAAAGTGCCGAGGGAGAGACCTGCACCCGGATCCCTGCCCCACAGCCAGCCCCCACCTCTCCAGCACACTAATGCACCTCTCACCTCTGATTTGCATGGGGCTCTGCCATCGATGGGCACATTGGTGTGCGATCCACAGCCTAGCTGGTTGTCCAGTGAAGACTTAAGCGGGAGTGCCCTTGTCTGTGACACAGGTGAGGAGCTGGACAGGTGAGGTCATCCAGCCAGTGAAGAGCTGAGTGGGGCTAGAGCAGGACCAGCACTCTTTGTGCTGCCCCAGAGGCTGAGTGTTCAGAATCCATCCATTCCTGTGACTGTGTGCCCTTGCAAATCGTCCACACTCCCAACCCGCATTTGGTTTGAAGAATGAAACAACATGTAACTGATACAACTTGGTCTGCTTAGCAGAGCTATGGGAGGGACTGTATTTCCATCTACTTTGTGGGTCGCACATCCCATTGGAGAGACTGGAAAAGGGAAAAGGGGGAGATCTGCAGGTTCATTAGAGACGTTTCTGGGGTAAGCAAAGCACTTCCCACATTTCTGCAGATATGACAAGACAGGGAATTGAGATGCCCTAACACCAAATCCACAATGAGCATTCCAAAATAACGCAGATGTTTTTTGGTTTTTAAATAAATCAGGCTTTGGAAACTGTGTATTTTCTTTCTTTGGGTTGTGTTGGACTATTCAATCAGCTTGGGGCTTGTAGGACTTCGTTGTGGGAGAAGATAGTTCCAAAGGCATGGAACTGAACTAGGTGAAACCAGAAAGGGCAGTGGAAAGAAATCTAAGTGGGGATGGGGAGCGTGAAGTTGTCTTGAAGATAACACAGAGAGATATACAAGACAAAGACATGATAGGAGCGAAGGTATAAACTTCAGGACAAATCGCACCGTTATTGAGTGGCTGGATTGTGATCTCCCACCATTCTGCCCGAACAGAAGAGGACTCTGAGTGTAGTTTCATAAACATCCTGTTAACAGAGAGGACTACCCTAACCCTCATCATTTACTTAGTCTGGATTTACCTCAAATGAAGTAAGAGTCACTGTTGCTTTCAACTGGAATTAAGAAAACTCAGGAAACAACCCTACAAAAATATTTTTTTTAAGACCAAAAGTCACCAAATCTTTTTCAACAAGAAATCCAGACCAAGTCATGATGGATGCTTGCTTGGACTAGGAACACATGGGTTGATCAGGGTCAAGGCTTTTGTGTGAGCGCGTGTGCGCACGCACTCACACGCTCACACATATTTGTACTCATTTGGACTGGGTCCTGTCCCTCCCAAACTTGTCTGTGGAAGTGCAAACCCTTAGTACCTCAGAATGTGATTGTATTTGGACTTAAAAAAGTAATTAAGTTAGAAAGAGGCTGTTAGGGGCGCCTGGGTGGCTCAGATGGTTAAGCGTTTGCCTTCGGCTCAGGTCATGATCCCAGGGTCCTGGGATCAAGCCTTGCATCGGGCTCCCTGCTTGGCGGGGAGCCTGCTTCTACCTCTCCCTCTACTGTTCCCCCTACTTGTGCTCTCTCGCTCTCTCTGTCAAATAAATAAATAAATAAAAATAGAAAGAGGCTGTTAGGGCGGTGTTTTTATAAGGAGGAAATTTAGACACATACAGAGACCCCGGGGATGCACATGTGTGTGAGGAAGGATGCGTGAGGGGGGACAAGGAGAAGGCAGATATCTGCAGGTCCAGGAGAGCCCTTTGAATGAAACCAACCCTGCCGACACCTCGATCTTGGACTTCCGACTTCCAGAACTATGAGAAAATATGTCCGTCTTCAAGCCACTCAGTCTGTGGTGTTTTATTTTGGCAGTAGACCAATACACACACATTATTGTACATTAAGTGCAAGATAATGATGGCTTTACATGGCACATTTAAAATTTTTAATGTAGTCTCTTTTTAACTCTTCTTATGCTTGAATCCTTCTCTCTCTGCTCCTGCCTCTACCCAAGGTCACCTGTGTACAACTTATCACGTAGGAGTCTGTATTTCTCTGTATCGTCATGTAATCAAAGAAACACATAGCCATACACAACACACATACTTGTGACTATTATGTGAGGGCGGGTCATTGTTTTATACAATTAGGATCATATTTCACAGGGTTTTCAATATCTTGCTTTGGATTACTATTTACAGCTTTTATATTTTGAAACAATTTCAAACTTACCGAAAGTTGCAAGTACAATACAAGATACCTGTATTTTTGAGCCCTGATCCATTAGGACCAAGGTGCAGATGTGATGCCTCATCACCTCTGATTATTTTGGTGCGAACTTCCTGCAAACAGGTTGGTGTCATTGGCAGGAAGATTACAGAAATGATGCGGACTCTTCTTGCGGACCCCGTCTGTGGTGCACAGGTGCACTTACTGTTCCTGATGACATTCACTTTGCTTGATTGAGATCGTATCTGCCAGTATATATATATATATTTTACCACACACTTTTTCCCTTTATAATTAATAGTTTGTGGGGAAGCATCTTGACTCTATGTAAATATCTTGTTCCTCATCAAATGTTTAGTTTACTCATGTGTATCACAGGGATTCATAGTTTCCTTTTGTATTTAATAGGTTATAATCTGTTAACTATTGTTATATATTTTGATGTTCCTGTCTGTGTCCATTTGGCATATCCTATCATTATCTGAATACCTTCTTGTTTGCTCATGCAAGATGTTTCAGGCCCATCTTGCACTTTCCCTGCCCCAGCATGGAATTCACCATTTCTCTAAGGATCCTCGCTTCCTTTTGCAGAGAAGCCAAGATCTGGGGGTGCCTGGGTGGCTCAGTCGGTTAAGCAACCGACTCCTGATTTCAGCTTAGGTCATGATCTCACTGTTGTAAGATTGAGCCTCCCCCCCCTCCCCCGCCCCGTTGAGCTCTAGGCACTGGGCGTGGAAACTGTTTTAAGATTCTCTCTCTCCCTCTGCACCTCCCTGCCTGCATGCTCTCTCTCTCTAAAACAGACAAACAAAAACAAAATTTAACAAAAAATAAAAAATAAATAAATAAAAGCCAAGATCGGGGTGCTAGATGTCTTTGCTATGGGTCGATGGCTGTCCCCAGTCAGTAGAGTTAGAGATAGACATGCATACACACATATGTATCTACACATACACACTTTGGAATCCATATTTATCATGTATATTGACAACCATGAACTCACATTGATACCTCTGCTTCCAATTTAAAACTGCTGGGTTTATTCTAGTTTTTGAGTATTCCTATCTGTAAGTCCCATCTCTTATAGGGAGGAATACTCTCAATATGTCTGCTTGTATGACGGGTCCCCTTGCATGTTAGCAGTCTCCCATTGTGCCTTTACATCTCCTGTGTGGATGCTCCCGTCACTCACCACCTCCACATTATGCCCCTGCCCCCTCTCCCAGCTGGGGCTCCAGCACCTACACGCTGGTCTGTTCCCCCAGGCAGAGTCCCTCTTATCCCACACTGGGACACCTCCATGTGAGCACTTCCTCACCCTTCTGGGGCTCTGAGACCCCACGCCAAGCTCCCCCTGCTGCAGAACCTCTCTTTTCCACTGAGTCTCTGAAAACACGTTGCCAGGGCAGCCCTGTAAATAGACATTCTTCTCACTCCCTCAGGCTCTGACCCTCCCATTGGCCCACCCCCTTATGTTTTCACCCTCCTCTCTCTGCTTAGGGTCGCTGGTGCATGGACACCCTCCATGCCCTGTTCAGAATCTGACTTGTCCTACAACGAAGCTCTCCTCCCTCTGACCAGCCCACCCAAGACTTAAGGGCTGAGTTGCTCTGGAAGGGACAAGAGGCACAAGGGAAGGGAGAAGCACATCTTACTACTGTTACTCAGCAAGACATCAGGCAAATCATTCCCAACTACTCCGTGGAGATGGGCAGTCCTCTTCCCAAAAGCACGTGCACTCCATGGTGTGAGTACGTCACAACTGTTCTGCGTGTGCCCCTCAATAGCATTCTTGTTGTCTCCAGTGTTTTACCACCACGAACAAAGCTGCAACAAACATCCTTGTATATGATCTATGCATTGTTATATACTTTTATTTCTATGGGACAGATTCCCAGGAATGGGATTTCTGGATCAAAGGTAAAGATTTTAATAACATCTGGAGATCCTGTGACAGTCTCTGAGAAGCTGAGTTTTTGGTTCTCCTTGTGGGGACACTGCAGTGCTGAGAGGCATCTGAGATCGTTAGTAGTCAGTGAGCCTTGGCAGGTGCATAAGGCCAGAGATGTTGGAACTTGTAGCCATGCCAGCCAAAGAGGGTTTGCTCTGACCCTTGTAGGTCCCCATTAGGGGGCAGAGTGCACCCCCTCGTGCCCGCAACATTCAGCAGACTGTGACCCGAAGGCTGACTGAATGCTGGGCATGGAGCCAGGCACTGGGGGGACAGACCTACAGGCTCACTGCCTACTGGGGAGGTTGACCAGCAAGCTAATCTTTGTCCCCACATGTGCCAAGGCTGTGGGGACACAGGACAGGGGCAGCTGGGATACAGATGCTGGCAGCGAGGCCGGCAAGGGCTTCCCAGAAGACTGACACATGATCCTGGCCTTGAAGGTTGGATAAGTGCCAGCTGGGCAAAGGTAGAGGCAGGCTTGTGTTCCTTGGAGGAAACAGGTGAGAGGGAGTGGGGGCCCATGGGGTAAACACAGGGCACACACCCTCCACTGAGGTGCCCGGGCCTCGACCTCCTTCTCTATCTCCTTCCACCTGGCCCCTGCTCCTCAATGACCCCCAAATGTAGCAGCGGGCTCCCCCTAGCCTCAGGTCTTGACTCCCGCCTTTCTTCCCAAGCAAAGCCACTTCCCAAACACTTGGTTTCCCCCTCACATGTGAAGCCTTTCCCGGCTGCTGCAGGTCACACTTATCTCCTGGCCCCAGAACGGCGAGCCCAGTGCTCAGCACATGGTGTTTATCAAATCCCTGCAGTACTTATCGTTGGGAACGCTCCCGTGCTTGAGGTTTCCTGCTCCCCAACTAGACGGCAGCTCATTGAGAGGCCGGCCTTCGCTGTGCACAGATGGGGCTCAGCTGGTTGGGTGCTGAGAAGGAGCAGCCTGGTTCATCAACGTAAACATTACAGAGGCCTCATCTGCTGAGAACCCTCCACATGGGTGGAGCCTTGGCTGGGAATGTGGGCACACAGGCAAGATCTTCCTCCAGCTTCTGTTGTTTGCAAAGCGGTCCAATGTCCACCTTTCCACCCAGAGGGCTGGGGAGGGGAAGCAGTGTGGCAGCCATGGAAAGAGAAGAGCAGTTTTCCTTCATGGTTTCTCTTCCCACCAAGGCACAAAGAGACCAGATGTTGGTGAGCTGAGGAATCCCTATGTCTTGTGAGCTTGTTAGGACTTAGCTTAAGTATTTGGCTCAGGGAACTTTTAGGTAGATCAGGAGCATGTTGTGAATACAGCTTGTCAAGGCAGCGCAGCTCCCAACTGGTGGGTGGAAGAAGCTGGGGTCATGAGCAACCCCACTGCTGAACTCCTCTGAGTTCCAGAGACTTCCCTGTGCTGTGCGGGCAGCCGCTGTGCTTCTAACATCTCATCGTTGTCTGACCAGCCGCTGACCACCTCCCTGCCAGTGATAGCTGAGGACAGCTGAGACCTACTCCCACCACTGAGACAGAGCCTGTCCGGCAGTTTTGAGGTCTTCCCTTTGAAAGAGTTACTAAACTCATCAGTAAAGCTGATTTCTAAAGGCCACTTGCTGTGGTCAGTATTTTATGGTTTAAACAAAAGTCTTAAATTGAAATGATGAAAATAAAGGCCAATTTGGTGGTGGAAGTCATAGCATAATAAGGAATACGGTGTTGGGTGCCTGGGTGGCTCAGTTGGTTAAGCGACTGCCTTCGGCTCAGGTCATGATCCTGGAGTCCCGGGATCGAGTCCCACATCGGGCTCCCTGCTCAGCAGGGGGTCTGCTTCTCCCTCTGCCCTCTTCCCTCTCGGGCTCTCTGTCTCTCATTCTCTCTCTCTCAAATAAATAAATAAAATCTTTTTAAAAAAATAAGGAATAAGGTGTTTATGCTAAGAAGTACATGCAGCTGGGGCACTGTGGTTTGAAATAAGTGTGTTGGGCTGCTCAAAAGGATTAATGAGCTTTCTGAAATTATTAGACATCGAAGGCCTATTCTCTCCATAGGGTAGACCATTTGCAGGTGCAAAGTGTGTGTGTGTGTGTGTGTGTGTGTGTGTGTGTGTGTGTGTGTGTGTGGAGGGGGCTGTGATTTCAAGGATCCAACCAAGGACCTGCCTTAGAAATGGCTAGCTCATGGGGCGCCTGGGTAGCTCAGTCGGTTAAGCATCTGCCTTCAGCTCAGGTCATGATCCCAGGGTCTTGGGATTGAGCCCTGCATCCAGATCTCTGCTGAGCAGGGAGACTGCTGCTCCCTCTCCCTCTGCCTGATGCTTCCCTTGCTTATGCTCTCTTTGTCACATAAATAAATAAAATATTTTAAAAAGAGAGAGAGAAATGGCTAGCTCAGAGAATTTTGATGAGTTCTGGGAAGAGGCAATTTGCAGGAAGCTGCTACGCCTGGTAGCCAATCTCTACGAGGACCCTTTATCGAGAGGTGGCACCTGATTAGATTCTGAAAACACACAGTAGAGGTTAAGTTGGTGCATTGAAACCAGCGGGAGGTTCTCCTGGAAATCGTGATGGGAGAGTGGCATGCCCAACGTCACCAACACTGGCAGGAAGAGATAGGTGGCTGGGTCTAGTCCCTACTCCTCTGTGAACCAGCTTTGCAACCTTGGGCATGTCATTTAGCCTCCAAGACTTTTTTCCAGTCCTAACTGTTCTGATTCATTAACTTTTTGGAGGGGGTTACAATGGATGGGGTAGGGAAAGGTATTGCTGATGAGAAAAAGAGAAACACATGTTCAGCACAGGTTTTGCTTTCTATCGTGAGCTGGTCCCATTTCTCTGCATTAATGTTATCAGGCTGTAATCACTTAGATTATGGTGACTGCAACAGGGTGGAGCAATTCAGGAAAGGTTTGTGATAATAAGCAAATCTTCCTTGAATTTAGAGAGAAGGGAGGAGCCTAGCCTGGAATGGGAGGGCTGTTCCAGGAGCCGATTAGCTTATCTGGTGCCTTGGAGAAGCAGTGGCTGGAATGAAGAGTGGGTGCTGGGGTTTGAGTGACAAGAGAAAGATCGAGGGATTGAGATCATAGTAAAAGGGCTTTAATTAATGAAATAGATAGCTCACAGACTTGTTGGCAACAGAACAATGGACTTGAATGAGAAATCCGCACTCTTATCAGCTCCAGCTGGTTGTACTTATGGACCAGGAAAATACATTTAAAACCTGTAATGACTGAGAAAGGGCTGCTAGCAAGATACTCAAAAGCGAGAAACAAACCCCAGCAACAACGAATTTTCTTCTATTGCCCTGATTTATAAAAAGGACACCTGGATACTAGAAATTGTAGGCATCATTTCAAAATTTAGAAAAAGAATGAATGTAGCTTCAAAAAAGTTGAATGATGTCCCTCTTTCATATCTTCTCCGTATTTTGACAGAAGTCAGCAAAATCTGTCGGGGGCCAGCACCGTGATTCAGCTGACCCGTTTTACAGACGAACTGAGCCTGGGAGATAGAATCCCCCACGATGTACCTTAACTTTCGTGGGTTCTCCAACTTACAAAGCAAGATCTCTGAAAAGAAAGGATGTGTCTGGCTTTCATTTGCAGGGGATTGTGGGCGTGGGGGTACTTAGCAAGAGACCTAGACTCTATACTGCCTTGTTAGCTCTAAATCCTGAAGTATCCGATAAAGTCGGAACTTTTACAGTTAGAACTGTGTAATTATGGAAATACACAAGCCTCACAGGTTTGGTTTGTCCTCTCATTTAGCGGATGAGTTGATAGAGCCTGTAGAGATGGACTCGTGATTGCTTCCGCTTGGTGCCAGACCCAGAGCTGGACACGCAGGCCCACACCAGACCTCAGAAGCCATGTGCTGTCCGCCAGCGTTACATTAAAGCGATCACGATTAATAGTTGTGGGGAAGGGGAGCATATCAGATTGGAACTTTTCTATGTGAATGTTTATTGTAGGAACACATTGAATAGGGGATAATTTAAAATCATCACAGCAGCACGTTAATATCTGTGGAAGAACTCTTAAGTAAATGTCCCACAATATCGATGTGCTACACTAACTCCCTTTTTAAAAAATAAGGTTTAAGAATCTTATTTATTTATTTATCTGAGACAGAGAGAGAGAGTGCAGAAGCAGGTGGGGGGCAGCGGCAGAGGGAGAAGCAGGATCCCTGCTCAGCAGGGAACCCAAAGTGGGACTTGATCCCAGGACCCCAGGATCATGACCTGAGCCGAAGGCAGTCGCTTAACCGACTGAGCCACCCAGGTGCCCCAACTTCCTAATGGAGTTGGCTGAGGACTACAATGAGCGGCTCAAGGGAGCCGGGACACTCTCCAGCTCACCTGCTGTGTGTTCCCTGGGGACAGGACAGGGGCACTGGACAGTAGGGTTGGGCACCTTGCTCCACCAGGATGCCAGGCTGGATCTGCGCCAGCTCACAGTCAGCCAGACAACACAGTGGGGCTGTTGAGCTTTCATAAGAATGGAATGCAGAAGGATCATTCTAGGTCTCCCCCATGGACTGGAAATCATTATTCACACCACATGTTGCTAAAGGAAGCCTTGCCTTTAAATAGGAATGCTTTAAAAATAGCAATCGTACCTCGTGCATGGAGAGTACCTCTGCTGTACCAGAGGTATCTGCCTTCTTACTTGATCCCCACAATGATCCAACAGAGTTGATAGGGGTGTAGAAGCTATCTAGGAGAGCAACTAACTAATTTCTGGGTCACGTATCTGGCAGGAGTTCAGCTAATGCTTGAATAAAGGAAGAAAAGATGGGAGGAAGTGAGGAAGGGAGGGATTGAGGCTGAGGCTGGTGTCTTGATTTTACAGAGGAGGAAACAGCTCAGGGAGAGAGTGATCTACCTGATGTGACACCACTGATTATGTGGGGGGGGGGAGGGGCTGTGGACTCCTGGTCTAGTGCTCCTCCTTCCCAGGATCCCTCCAGTGCCTCTCAGCAATTTGTTGACACATGCATTTGGGGTGATCTTTTAAAAGTGAATTAGCCCACAGGGTTCCAGGTCTGACACTGATGGCTGTAAAGGGGTTAAAGCTACCCCTCTGTAAATTACACAGGGGCACAGCAGCTCCCAGGAAATGTCTGAGAGAGAGCAGCAGGGTGGCTGCGTGATGTGACCAAAGGATGTTGGGTTATGTCCACTCTATAATATAAGTGCACAGTGTGTCTTGCCAATCTCTGCCCCTCTCCGGACCACAGTTTTCTCAGGGATACAGTCAGGGTCTTCATGACCACCATATTCTTTCCTGTCTCCATCCTCTGCCTCTAAAGTCCATCCTGGGTGCCTTCCAGAAGTTTTCTATCTTGCTGATGGCTGAGTCTCCTTCACTCTGCCCAGCACTGACCTGTGGGGGTGGGGGAGGTACTGGGGAGAAAAGGCTGCAGGATCCCTGGGGTGCATATCTCCATCACCCCAGCATTGTCCTGCTGCCCTTCCCTCCCCTGTGGCCTTGTTGGCATAGAAGAAGAGATTCTGCAGCCAACAATCAACATCAGTGGTCCCCACAATAAGACTGCTTAGTGTTGGTTTTTTTTTTTAAAGATTTTATTTATTTATTTGACAGAGAGAGACACAGCGAGAGAGGGAACACAAGCAGGGGGAGTGGGAGAGGGAGAAGCAGGCTTCCCGCCGAGCAGGGAGCCCAATGTGGGGCTCGATCCCAGGACCCTGAGATCATGACCTGAGCCGAAGGCAGACGCTTAATGACTGAGCCACCCAGGTGCCCCAAGACTGCTTAGTGTTTTGTCCTTTTGAGTAGGAAAATGATTCCTTATGACCTTATTGTTTTTATTTTAAATACTATCCTTTCAGAAATCATTCCACAGTAGAGAATTTTTTCTAGGACTCAAGATATTGTGAGGAAAGAGAGGAAGGAGGGACGAATGGAAGGAGATGTCTAAAGCAAGTGGAGAAGAAACTTGCTACTGTAGACTGGGTCAGCCCTGAGTGTCTAATTGATGTAAATCAAATGTATCCACTCAATAAATCTTTCCTGGAAACTCATTGCATGCAGGGCTCTGGATGGACCCACAGGAAGCTGACATGAATGTGGCAGCCTTCACCCTTACAGAGTCATGAAGTCTTTGACCAAACAATAACTTGCTTATGAACAGAGTAGAATCTATCAGCCTGACTGAACAGCTGCTGAGGAGCCCGAGCTCCACAAAGGTGATGGAGGGCGGCCGGTGCCAAGAGTCATGGGCATCCAGCCAGCCAGAGTAGAGAGAAATCACCAAACATTCTCACTTTCAGCTGACACATGGGAAAGGCCACACTTACAAACATAGCTACTCTGGTTAGAGAATGGGCTACTCTAGACTCATCTTAATAAAGTTTCAAGTCAAGCCTCATAAGAATCAGCCTGATCTACCAATAAATTAACTGCCTGTTGGCACAAAAATAGATGGTTGCTAGATGAAGACATAAAAATTTGGAGTCTTAACAACGCAGCATTCATAATTCTAGCATAAAGTCTTAAATCGATGGACATGTGATAAGCAGGCAAATGTGACCCATAATCAAGACAAGAAACGCCAATAGAAAATTACCCTGAAATAACCCAAATGTGATAACTAGAAGGAGACAAGGAATTTTTAAAAGCCATTATAAATATATTAAGGAATTAAAGGAAAAATGCTTAAAATAAAAAGACAGTTATAATGTTTCAGGAGAGTAATGGGAACTGCAAAAAGAACCAAATGGGCATTTTACGACTAAAAAGTAAAATATCCAAAATGAAAATTTAACAGCATACTATGTAAAACCAAATAAATTGTCAATGAACTTGCCAAGTGATTAATGAAAATAATCAATTCTAAAAACAATTGAAAAGATACTGACTTGTGAGATGACATCAAGCAATCTAAAAGTGTTTAAGTCCTAGAAGGAGAAAAGTGGGACAAAAAATATTATTTGAAAAACTAACAATTTAAAATTTTCCAAATTTGATAAAAACCATTACCTTATAGATCCAAATAGTTCAGTGAACCAAAGATGGATAAATACAAAGAAAGCCACACCTCAGCATGTCGTAGTCAAACTGCTGAAAATCAAAGATAAAGAGAAAATCTTGGAAATGGTAAAACAAACACAAAAACCAAATAAGCTCACAATAGCTATAGGGAAGCAAAAATATGAATAATGACTGACCTCACAGCAGAAAAAATGGAGACGAGAGTACAATGGAGCAACATCTGGAAAGTACAGAATAAAAATACCTGTCAACCAAGAATGAATGAATGAATGAATTAATACCCTTCAAAAATGCAAGCAAAGACATTTTCAGATGTCTGACAATTGACAGAATCTGTTACCAGCAGATCCACATTATAAGAAGTAAAAGACGTTCTTCAGGCAGAGGAGAATTGACCCCAAATAGGAATTTAGAGTTACAGGGAAGAGAGAGAGCGAGAAAGAGAGAGCACTAAGAATACTAAATATGTCGGCAAGTATAAAGGAATACATAGTTTTTATTCTCTTAATTTCTTTAAAAGACTTAACATGTATAACCCTGTGTGGGGGTTATAAAGGATGTAGCTGTGACAACAATAGAACCAAGGATGGTGACAGATGGAACCGTATTGCTACAAGGTTCCCTCATGTTCTAAGAAGCAGTGGAATAGGAACTCTGAGTAGATTGTGAGGAGTTTAGGATTGTATTGTAATCCCTAGGGGAACAGCTGGAAGAGTCAAAACCAATGCAGGACTGGACAGATGCCAAGCTGTGCCTCCTACATGCTCCTTCGATGAGAGACTCATTGCCCCAGGGGCTGGGAGTGCTGTTGGCAGATGTTACCTACAGAGAGCTGACTTGCCCTCCCCTTCCTTGGGCAGTGTACATGAAATGACTGATCAATTGAAAAGTATAAATGTCTGGCTATTTTGGCCCAATCAGGACAACTCTGAAGGACCAGTGTAGTTCTAGAAGTTTTTGTGAGGTCTTCTAAGGCTACTGTTGGACTAGCAGTGCAGCTCAACCTCTCCCTCTGCCCCATTTTCCTTCTTTCTCTTCTCTTCCCCAGGCATTGCTGTCAAGGGCATTCCTGAAAAAGCATGGTGCATGCTAAATTTCATCTCAGAGACTTTTCCAGGGAATCCAATCTGCAACAATCGGAGGCAGGAATATCCTGAGAAAGCAGGTGGGGAAAAAAAATGGAGTTTTGACGTGGGCACACTCACTTGTCTGGCTGGTAATGAGGATCCCATCATAGCCCCTGGCCAAAGACAATAGTCTAATGGTTTAAACCTTCTCTGGTGGTGAACTAGGTTGGGATAACAGGGGAAGAGATGTGCTATAATATAGCTGATGTGATGTATCAGGTATTTAAGAGAAAAATACAGCCTGAGATTGCTTAACAAGCAACTGAAAGCTCCCTTGGGTAACATACCAAGATGCCCCCATCTCCTGCAGCAGCAGAGAACACAAAGCTGTGGATGAGTCCCAAACTTAATTATCAGAGTAGCCAAGCTCCAGAGGTTAAATGCAAACCAAGGCAGGGTGTAAAGCCAGAGTTGGGATGCTGGAAAGAATATGATCAGGACTCAAGGAATAAGGACAAGAAGTCAATGTTCCTCCAAGTATTTTTTTAAAAATTTTTTGAGATAAAATTCACCATCATAATGATTTTAAGTGTGCAATTCCGCAGTTTTTAGTATATTCAAAATGTGCAACCATCACCACTATCTAATTCCAGAACATTGTCATCAAACCCAAAAGAAACCATGTCCCTCCCTCCCCGCCCCCCATTTCCTCTTCTCCCATGCCCTGGAAACCACTAATTTTCTTTCTGTCTCTATAAATTTGCCTATTCTGGGTATTTCATACAAACGGAGTCTTATGAAATGTGGTGTTTTGTAATCCAGCTTCTGTCACGTAGCATAATGTTTTATAGTCTCATCCATGTTGTGGCATGCATCAGGTCACTAAAAAATTACACCTACGTTTCCTTCTAAGAAGTTTATGGTTTTAGGTCTATCATTGAGGTCTCTAATTCATTTTGAGTTAATTTTGTATATGGTGTGAGGTGAGGCTCCGAATCCATTCTTTTGCAAGTAGATATCCAGTTGTTCTAGCACCATGTATTAAAAGATTCTTTTCTCCTTTGAATGGTCTTGGCACCCTTGACAAAAATCAATTAATCAGATGTATGGGCTAATTTCTGGCCTTTCACTTCTATTCCATTGGTTTATGCATTTATTTGAAGCCAGTACCACACTGTTTTGAAACTGTAACTTTTTAGTATGTTTTAAAATTGGGAAGTGTGAGTCTTGCTACTTTGTTCTTTTTTTAAACTTCTTTTGGGTAATTGGGGTCACTTGCATTTTCCACGTGGATTTTAGGATCATCCTGTCCATTTCTGCAAAAAAAAAAAAAAAAAACATTGGAATTTTGATAGGGATTGAGTGGAATCTGTTGATCAATTTGAAGAATATTGCCATTCTAACAATATTAAGTCTTCCAATCCACAAAAGAGATATGTTTCCATTTATTTAGTTCTCCTTTAGTATTTTGCAATAATGTTTTACAGTCCTTGATGGACAAGTGTTTTGCACTTTGTTGATTAAATTTATTTCTAAATATTTTATTATTTTTGCTGCTATTGTAAGCAGAATTTTTTAAACTTCATTTTTGGGTTGTTGATTGTTAGTGTATAGAAATACAACCAATAGTTGCATATTGATCTTGTATCCTGCAACTTTTCTGAACTCATTTATTACCTCTTAATTTTTTTTTTTTTTTTTTTACATTTGCCTGTAAATATTTTTGACAAATGCTCCTAGAGAGTGGAGGCAAGTTAGGCACCATAAAGGCAAGCGTTTTGAGCTGGTCTTCCAGGGATCCTGCAGACTGATCAAAACAAATAATAGAATTCTTTGTGAATAAGTCTGTTCTGCTCCCTCTGGACTGGTGGCAGGGATACAGGATGGGGTTTTCAAGGCTATCACTGACCTGGGGCATGGTGGTTGGGATTAGTCTAAATTAAAAAGCCACAAAGCTTGCTTTTCTTACTGAGATTGAACTGTTTTTCTTGAATAAGTGTTCCCATGGTTACTGCAAGCTTTTGGTTAGTTTCCAGAGTTCTGAAAAGCTAATTCTGCTAGTTTTTGCCAGTTTTTTTTTCATTGCTTTTATGAAGGGATGGACTTTTGGATGTTTCTGCTCCACCACTTTTTGCAAACATCAATCTCCCAGCCACCCCCCTATTTTCCCCCATCTTGAATCTGGATTCCTGTGGTTTCCTCTGAATTCCTTTGAGCCTATGGAAGTGGCTTACCCCTCCCTCTTATTTGCAAACAATGCGGAGGCTGCTGCCTCATAAGACAACATGAGGCCCCTCAGCTCCACAGCCACCTCCCCTCCTAGCACCAGGTCTATAGCTAAGGTTCAATTACAGGGGACCCAGACAGGGGTGCACTGATTCTGACAAGGGAGGAAAGGGATTACCCCAAAGAAGAGTGATTAGCCCTGTAAGCATGGGAGCTGGAAGGGGACACATAAGACTGGATTCTGAGGGTACTGTTTTGAACAAAGAGGCCAAAACATAAGTTTGGTTAAAGGGGAGTTTATTGATTTGAGAGCAGTTTTCCAGGTCACAAGATTTAAGATTCTGGCAAGGACCTCAGAGTATAGTATGAACTCCCTACTATGGGGGCTCCCAGAAGTCTGGAAATAGTGATGGTCCATGCCAGGTGAGGGGGGCTAGAAATGCCAGAATTACCATGGCTGATGTTGGAGAAGATGAGAAAGCTCAGAGAAGTGTATGCTGGGGTAGGTGGACAGACTCAGTAAGATGGGGAACCCACTGAATGCAGATGTGCCTTGAGGATTTGTCAGGGCCACGAGGAGTGCACTGATGAGGAGCACCAGCGTCACTGAGAAACTAGTGATGGATCTCCTCTGCAAGCCAGGGCTGATCTGGGGAGAGGCTGTGACAGAATTTGGCTCTCTGATATCAGTGGGGTAAGACCCAAAACCCAAAAGCCTGTGGAGGTACTTAATCACCCAAAGCCGGATGGGTGCAGTCACCACAATAAATGGCAAAGTTGGAGGGTCAGTCAGGGGACCTGACTGTCTGAGAGTTACAGAGATGGTTTGTATACTACAGCATTCTTAGGGGAAAACTAAATGTGCTGCCAACAAGGTTCACTCACTCTATGCCAACAAAAGAAACCATGAATGACTGATCAGGAGATTGAGGGCAATTACTTCAATAAAGTGCCATGATTCTTTAAGAAGTTGCTGAACCTGAGCAAATTTTTTAACCTGAAACTCATCTATTAAAAAATGATTGGGTCTCCAGGAGGAAGGATTCTGCAACCTCACAGCAAGTGTACACGATAATGATTACCCCAGTCTTTCCCCAAAGGGGCATAGGGCCATTTACTCAAGTAACTGTGCACTGGAGAAGGAGAATATCCAACATTTCAAGGATTGTTGAACATAGGGTCAAAGCTGACATAGATATACCATAACTCAAAGCATTATCATGGCCTCCATGTTAGAGAGTGGGCATATTGGGGGTGGGTAATAAATTGAGTCATGGCTAAGATTAGGTTCACAGAGTCCAATGGACATTTCCCTGGTCCCCAAATATATAATTGGGATGGACATCCTTGATGGTTGGTATGACCTCCACATTAGGTCCTTGGACTATTGGGATAAGAGCCCAAGTGAAAGCCTTCAGAAAGTGGTCTTCCCCCACCTCTTGTCTCCATGAAGATAGTAAATAAAAATCAATATTTCATCCTCAGAGGGGAGGTGATGGTAATTAGTGTCCCCCTTAAAGATCTGAGGGGTGTAATGATGGTGTTTTCCAACATATCTTTATTGAATTCACCCCTCTGGGCCCTGAAAAAACGTGGGTGAGCCCTGGGGAATGACAGTAGAATACCAAAAACTTAACTGAGGGGTAGTATGACGTGCAGCTCATGCCAAATGTATTATCTTTGATAGAATTTGCTAGAACAGATTAACACAGCCACGATGCATGATATGTGGCCACTTACTTGGCAAATATGTTCTCCTTCATCCTATGCAAAAAAGAGGATCAGGAAGATGGTGCATTCACATGAAATGGTCCATAGTATAAATTTGCAGTTTGTCTCAGACCTAGCTAATTCTCCTACTCTCTGTCATAATATAGTCCAAGGAGATCTGGACTGTTTGAACACCCTGCACATTGATTTTCTTTATCAATGGCATCATGCTAATGGGACT